AAGTGAATAAATATCTGAACTATGCTGTTTCGTGGGTGCAGTCACTGAACTAAGGAAATTTGTGAAACAGTTTAATCAGCGGAAGATAAGTAACGAGCTGTCAGCGAGGCAGATTCAATGGCATTTTAACCCGCCCTCATCCAGCCACAGGGGTGGAGTATGGGAAAGGATGATTAGGTCTATACGCCGACTGTAATTGTTGATCACCAGAGAACAGACTTTAACTGATGAGGCTTTAGGCACTTATTTGGTCGAAGTAGAAAGAATACTGAACGATCGACCCTTAACTCCAGTTATCCAAGATGCTAACGATAAGCTGGCCTTGTCGCCAAACACTTTGCTGTTATTGAGAGAATGTGACGGAATAGTAGATGAAGGTAGCGTTCGAGACAAATATGACAAACGTATGGCGGAGCAGCAGGCCAGTTGGACTGCCCTTCGAAAAATTCTGCCCATCGTCCAAGACGTCGATGGATGTTAGTGATTGGTATATGCTTATTTGCTTGAGATTAACTCTTGACAACCAGCCTAAGCTGTTACAGTTCAATGAGCGTGTTAACGAACACAGAAGAATGATAAACGACTATGCATGTATCGCGAGATTAGTGACAAAAATAGAATAAAAATAAGAGAAGTAACTTATTATCGCAGCAAGACATGACGTCAGAATAAGCGTTTGTGCAGTCATAGTTAGGAAGGATCACCTAGTGAAAGGGTTCCACCATGATAATAATTGTGTGCACTTGGATGAATAAATGTAGATTTATGTAGTAGTGGTATTAGTAGTAGTAGTAGTAGTAGTAGTAGTAGTAGTAGTAGTAGTAGTAGTAGTAGTAGAATACAGAGTAAAACCGGATATTAGTATAAACATTTGTGCAATAATAATTTAGAATGATGCTATGGAAGTCACAATCAAGTGAGAAGGATAATAAAAGATGTAAATTTCTGTGTGTTATATAGATGTGGTGATGATAAAACGAAGCTGAGTTAATTTGTTTAAGTGTAACGTAGGATAAATTACTTTTGTGTTTATAGTTATAGATGTTAGATGTTTAGAAATGAAATATGTGTAGAAGGAAAAGAAGAGATGAAAAGACTATCTAATGTGTCGAGGGACCTGGTTGTATTGAGGGAGTTTGGTTTCACACTAGGTTTGAGAAGCGGAAATGTTGGTAAGTCCCAGTGTTTTCTACATAAGGTCTTACTCTCCGTAGTCATAAGATACTTGGGTTGAGACATCGACCACTTTGTGACCAAGTATTGAGACTGCTTAGCAGGACCTCATTTACCTCACAGCTCGGACTGCGATAGATCAAACCAATCAGCAGCTCTTGTCCCTTGCATTTCAAACGGCAACTACTTAATTCACACGTCCCACTCTCATGGGATACACTGTCGATAATGGCAAATGGGATGGCATTCCTAATGAATAGAGCTACTCTCCCATCTTTACGCTTTTGTATTCTGTCGGCACCTACTAACGTAACATCTTCTAAATCAAGTTCCATACTATCCATAGACTGCGTCAGCCGAGTTTCTGTGACTGTGATTATGTCTGGCATTGTAGAGTCAATCTGTACACCTAGTTCCGATCGCTTATTGAGCAAGCTTTGAGCATCGGTGTAACGGATCCGGAGCCTATCTAGATGGCTTCGTGCCTCACCCAGAGTGGTTTCGGCATCATTCTCTGTCGAAGCCTCACAACTCGTTGTACCAGCCTTTGCACTCATCGCACTGCATGCCGTTTTCAACAGGGTATCGACAGCCCGGACGTTGGCAATGGCTTCTGTTGCACTGTCCAGCCATCAAACGGAGGTCTTTTTAAAAAAGGTACTGGATACAATAGTACTGAGAGATAAAAATGATCTATGACCAGAAAAGTGGATAGGCATCAGCCACTCCTTAGACCAGCTAATCAAAATATTTAAGTCTGCCTGAAGTGCGCATGCATCTGCGACTCCCTCCTATATGCAGCCGGTGTGAGTTCGGTGCACACATTTTGATGCCACTTATTGCAGTTGTCACATTGCACTCCATCATCGACAGGGAAGTGGCATGCAGGTCTGCCACAACGATGTTTAACCTGCACCATAAATTTGTTTCGTGATCTCACAGGAAGAACAACAGCGAGAACTGATCTCTAGAAAAAGTGTCTTTTTTAAGGCTTGACAGGTGATGGACACTGAACACAAACAAAAACAGAGGTTTGCATATTACTGTACGTAACAACAATAAAACACCCGACTTCAGTAGTTACGAAAAGACCTTAACACCTTTGGATACAAACAACATACAAAGATATACACAACGAGGAAAACAATAGCACTAACCTATTTTCTTACTTTAACTGAAATAAATTCAGTCAAAGCAACAACAGTAGTCTCGATGTCCGATTAAGCGGTCAATACTATAAAATATACTCAGAGGAAAAATACCACTGCCCTTTTTAAACAGTGTGCAATGTTCAAAAAGTTAGCAGCCCATTCCGAAAAATTATTCCCGCGTACACTGATGATAGATCGTCGTTTCGAAAGCACAAAGACAACATATGTCTCAAAACATTTGTTTTTACTAACTACATTGGGCACTGGCATTTCCAGCGCGGTTGTTTCGGGCTCGTAACTAAGGCAGCTCTCTCGGCGTTTTGACACAGTGACAATGTGCTCTTCATCTGACGTATTTTTCGGTGACGATTTCAATCACAATCAGTGGAACAGCAAATGCGAAGACACTTGTCATACTGGTATTGGTTATTCTGGCAATTCAGAGAAGGTATGTACCGAACTATTATTAGGGTGTTCTGGTTTTTTTTACTGGTGTTTATCATTACTCTACCGGTCTCAGCAATAGTCGCCGCTTAACACATTAGTCACTGTGACAAAAATAAATTGGCGCAGATGTCGGTCTTACAGTAGGGTTAGCTGTTTGTTATTGGAAATCCAGTTGTGAATGAATACGTGTATTTATATATAAGTTAATGTGTGAACGTAACTTGGTCGCTGACTGACTTTTAGCATGTATGTTCCAGATGAATCAGTGAGTACACACGAAATCAGAATCAAGGATCCGTAGCTACTAGTCGAGTCATGTATCATCTGATTTTGCAACGTCAAGTGGGGACGTTGTATATCACAACTGATAATGGTACAGACGGATTCATTCGTTATTTCCCATTAGATCTTGATTTTCAGGATTTCTTGCTGAACACCCTGTCATTGTTTTTCTAAACTGTATTCGCACTATCGTTACTACTTTTGTTATTGTGCCCCCTTTGTTGTTCATCTTAGTTTCAACTCGTGTTGACTTCACCCGATTGTTTGATATCGGATTGTGATGCTTCTCAATGAATTCATTGTACAAGTGTGTGGATGCTGTTTGTGAAATCCGTAATTTCCTACCACAGAGCACATCGAGTTGTTTGCAGTGTACGGAGTAATTTGCTTTGGTAATTAACTAGTACTAACCACATTCGGTGTTGATTTACTGTGCCGGTAAGAACCTCTTTGTTTATGCGCTGGTTCTTTTTGATTTCACTAATTTAATTGGAACACTTGAAACTTTAGCTGAATATGTGAAAACCCAATACCTTGTTTATTGAAATTTGTGCCATCCATACCTAATTTGTAAGTCTTTTGAACGATCTCTTTTTAAGGGTGAGATCCGGCAAGTTAAGTGAGAAGGCTACAGGAATAGGTGAATTGGTGTCCAAGATTACTAAGCAATAGGAATAGCTGGGTCGTGATAAAAGAGAATTATAACATTTCCATAGTGTTCAATTTAATCAAGATGATATAATCGATATTGTGATATTCCGTAGGTTGAGGATCTTGATGTGATGATATTGCGGTAACGGTCACAATGTTGAGCTAAGCAAATATTTATTGTACTAGATTTATTTAATCTTCATGTCTAATGTAAAAGTTGAGAGCAATCGGTAAATGTTTGGGTATACAGTTAACATGTAAAATGAATAACTAGATAGAGAATTTTTATTCTCACCAATACTTACGCATATTGAAGCCCTGAATTTCAGCGAAGAAGCAACCGTTTCATTTTTTATCTCTATTATTTTTTGCCTGTTGCACCAGGTGATTTTTGTTTTGATTTGTGCGATCCATTTATCATACTGTTCTATTGTGCAGCGTGGATTATTTTTTAAATTTATAATATGATTCAATCGTAATAATATTTGACGATTGTAGCTTTTATTTTTGAGAAAACTTTATTTTGTTATCATTACTATTTGACTGTTTGTTTATGCCAGCCATTTGAGTCTGAATTGGAGGCTATGAATAATGGTGACTTGACTTCAATCGGAAATGTAGAATTACAATTAGCTGCTTGCAATCGAATTGTTTCTCTGTTATGTAATTGTCTTTCAACAGATCATTTTCAACTAGTACAATTATTAAATAATTTGAACCAGTGTGGCGATCCAGTTTCTGTTACTTTGTCAACTTTATCCCAACTTAATCCACATCCTAGTGTTTTAGACATATGTTCTAATGTAACATCAACACATAGTCACTGAAAAGTTATTCAGTCTCTCGTGTTATCCCGTGAACAAGATGTCTCAGATAATTTGAAAATGTATGTCTATCCATGGTTCGCGTACACTATTCGGTTTTGCATTTACAACTTCCTAGCCTCCCCTAATTATGTGACTCGCGTTGCAGACTAAGAAGCGTGTGTATCTGTATCTGTATCTGAATCGGATGTCCTCAGAACGTGAAGATGAGGTAGTACAATAATCCTCGATTTAAAATAATACGACGAGTGGTTGGAATTAGAGATGCATCAGAGATCAGAAACACGTGGAATGAATTATGAAGCAATGTGGTTATTCCTGATGAGAAGTGATAGTCATTAGTTTAATGTCTTTAATTTTGGCTCCTAAAACTAGTGTTTAATGCAAGAGAACTCTACTGCCAGAAGTTGTTATGTATTCAGAGTCATTCGCTGTTCACCCTTACGAAATTCTTCATGTCACCTGAGTATGGGATGCATCGTATTGGTGACAAATTTATGTTTAATCGTTATGTATACATTTGTCATTTTATTCATAAAATATTTTGATTCATTGAGTTTATAAATCATTTCTCACTATTTCATTTTTAGTTATTAAAATATGGACTGGTTAATCCAAGGAATGTTCTCAATCGCACACTGAGACATTCTAGTTTTTCTGAATCCGATGAACCAACGAAGTGTGAATTACAAGAGGCTTTATTGAATGCAGTTGGTCAACTGGATCGTTTAAGAAAACACCGTATAAATCAAAAAACACGTATTGATAAATTACAAGAACGATTAGATCATATGGGTACTGAACTGGATTCCAGTGTAGATACTATTCGTCATCATCAAAGAAATTATGAAGCACAAAAACGTAGAACTACTATGGAGATTACTCATTTACGTAATCAATTAGCTAAAGCAACTGCTTTATTAGAACAGTTGAAATTATTCTTCAGTAAAACAAATCTGAACACTAGTTCTTTGGACCACAATATGCGAGGTTTGTGCTTTATAAGATTTAAATGTGTTGTAATTTGTTTGTGTCTAGTGACTGATTTGATCTCACGCCTATCTGTCTCTTGCTTTTCAATTGTTAGTTTATTGTGTTAATCTCTTATCGTTAGTTTAATGATATGAAACGTTTATTATAGTGTTTCCTTACCGACAGATAAGTAATCTAAGTTGTGTCGTCTTACTCATAAGAGAGCTTGTATTCTTCTGTGTGTTTTTGTAATAATTTTGTCAAGTTTATTCTTTTACACTAATGATTCCTCCGTCACGCGTTTTATTAACTCTTTTTATTTGAGCATTTTGAAATTATTGCTTACTAGAACTGTCCCAGTGCGTTGATGTGACACACTTAAGGGTTAAAGCAAGGAATAAAAGAAACTGAATAACTATATGTTACTCCATGTATTGGGTTTTAAGTCATGCACTATAGACACTCACGAAATTGTGTTTCGATATACAGTTGCAGATGTATTTAAATACAACCATATGTAATTTCTGAAAAACCAATTATTATGTAAATTCGACGAGATGATAATATTTTGTATTTCAAACAATGCGTTGTAGTACTCAATAAATGATCTATCAACAGTTTGTATTTGCTAATGCGATCACCTCTTTTGATCTTAATTATTTGGACAAATATATTGGCTGATTAAGCTGAGAATTCGCTTGGAAGTTCAGACGTATGGTACGAAATAAAGCAATTATTATCATCTTTATGAATGATGTATTTCTCCCTTAGATGTAATTTCAAAACTATGCTTCATCTCTCCTAGGTTTTCATATTATGCAACTAGAGCGTTGACACCATAGTTGATTAAGTACTCGACTATTTGCTTTATATTTCCATAGGACAGTCTGAAATACTGATGAACTAAGTTTAATCGATCCTGTAGGTATCTTATCAGTCACAAATTATTAAATATGCTAAAATCCTTTCAATATCAAATGATGAATAAGCTACCTCCTGGTAGACAAAGAATTTAATCATTTTAATCACTCCATACTACCGTATGTTTGATAAATAGTGTTTTCCGTTTTATTGCTCTGATATCATTATATCATTCTGTTTGTTGGTGATTATGATATAATCAGAAGGAGTTTTGTGGAGATTGTAGTAATTTCAATGATTGAGATCATGAGTCAGTTGAAGTTAGACCACCATGGAAAACCTGGGAGCACTGTTCAGCCGTTTCGTTCCATTATGGGACTCCTCAGCAGTGCGCACCCACGACCTCGCCCCCTGCGAGATTCGAACCCAGGACCTACTGGTTTCGCGCGTGAGCACTTAACCACTAGACCACTGATTCACCAGGTTCTTGGGTATGAGCCATACTCAAAGTGTAAGAACTAATGATAATACTCGTTCGCCCAAACGGAAATAGATGTAGTGGGATTCAAACCTGGTCAAGTGTGACTCCGTTTTCATTCATTTCATTATTCGATTTACAATCTCTCTACTTCGTATATGATACCGATATAAGAGATAAGTGTAAATAAGTAAAACTTTCAATAATGTGAGTATTATTATTTTTACATTTACTTCATAGTTGTGATTGAGAATTTACTAAGAAATGTACACACAAATAATGAACTGCAAAATGTAGATACTTTAAGTATCGACGATTTAAAACTGAGATTATCTATTGCTCAAAATGAGCTTACTCAATTGCGATTAGATATGGCACGTCAAAGAGAAGATGATGATCGTGAGGCATCAAGACTTCGGGGTCAGTTAGCTGAAGCAAATTCAAATGCAAGAGCTTTACGGATGCAGTTAAATCGCCTTATACCACAAAGCATTTCTTCAAGCAAACTTAATAGTTTGGTGAATACAAACTCATCCGATTCCTCAAGCTGTACAAATTGTCAAAAACTTCAACGTCTCAACGATGTTTTACAACGTAAACAATCTAAAATGAACCCGTTTCCTGATTTAATCGATCATCAAGGGAATATAATAAATCATCAGAATTTTGTTTGTGAGGACAGTGCCTTTAAGAAGAAAGCAATACACAAGTCACACTTTATGGACAGTTTCGTTCAAACAGATTTGTTGAATGATATTCCCGCAACTGATTTTATCCAAAAGGTTGATGTAGCTATTGACCCTATTGGTGGATACGATAACATCTCACCACATCTCCCGGTTGAAAATTGTAAATATGTTCAAACGGAACCATTCATCATAGGTAAATTTTAGACGTTCAATCCTCCTGTTATTTGGTTTTTGTTATTTCATTTTACGGACTATATCTTTTGTTAAATTCTGCAGTCTGCTCAACCTGAAACATCCTGATCACGAATATGAATGTCCCATAATTAGAGAATTTAGTAGGCAATAAGAATTTAGTGATGACAATGATCGTTTGATTTATACATTTTGTTGTAATTTTCCCTGTCGATAACTGCGGTGTATTGGATTTGAGCCTATTTACACGTATATGTATTCAGATTAAGTTTATACTCCAGTTATCATTTATTTGCATTTATCTTTACAAAGGAAAGAAATCAGAGTACTTGTGGTGTATGCTGCTTACGTCAACAGATATAAGTAGTATGTAACACGTATCAGAAGCCGGTGGATTTATTCGCCAATCGAAATACGACTTATTTAATCTTATCACTGCTAAACCAATGACGTTCGACCGGTATGAGCAGCCTAGCGTCCTTATTGGTCCTTTGTTCTTCTAGCCCGTCCAGTTGATTGCAGAAAGCCAATAACAGCTTCCACTATGTGAATCATTTATTTCGAACATACTTGGTTTATATACCAGCCAAACAGACCGCATCACACTATAAAATAGGAAATAACGTTTATACAAGTTGAAGCTAAAAAGTGGCTGTGAACGTGGGAGGCTGTAATCGATTAACTGAACATAACTTTAGAACAGTAAATCGTTTAATCATAATCTATAGGCCTAAATGAAGCTTGTAATAAGAGGAATATAGATATACATAATCTAGTTACTGAACAGTTATACAATAGGAATATATATATATATATATATATATATATATATATATCCTCACTAGGATATAACAGAATGCCTGTCAGCCTAAGATTGGGAAGATCGAATTGAAGAGAACAAGAATATAAAGAGAGTAATTGTGATAAGAACTGGAATAAAGGAACGGTGAAGTTTGTAAGAGAAAACTGACGGAAGATGTGCAAATGAAATATTTAATGTATGGTTTTCATATTTTACGAAGATACTCTGTAATTTTTGCATTCAACAATAAATTGGTCTTTCCCACCTGACTTCTCGTTAGCTACAACTAACGAAGTAGTATTTGGGTTAGGCATCAGAGTTTTAAGAATATTTTTAAGGATAATTAATCTATTGTTGTGCTACCTTTCATATTTAGGTGGTATGATGAGATTTCTCAGATGAACTGTTTCACTGGAAATTAATTGATCTTTGCTTTGTACATAGTTATCTTATAGTTATTATAGTTTTTGTTCTTATCTGTTTTGACTGGTGGTAGGCAATGACATAACTTCATGCGAAACTTCTTCATCTGGTGTAATTTTGGTTGATGGAAGTTTAAAACATGGTAGTGTAAACGAACCAAGCAACCTAAGTGAGGTTCAGTTAAATAACCTTCATGTATCCAATAAATCGGCACCAGTATCATTAATGGAAAACGACAATGAAGCCGCAATAAATAGTTATCGAAATTCGATGCTTCATTCAATTGGTGAATTAAAGCATGATAACTTGGTTAACCCGAGCCAAAGTGTTAATGAAGATTCGTTACATTCTCAGTTGTTACAGAGAATAAAAGTAGCTGAGGAGGAAGCGATTATGGCTATGGATCAGTTGAAGGCAAGTAATGCAGAGTTTCTTACTTTAAAAGAACGCTTATGTCATGCAACTGTAGAACGTGCACATTTAAAAGCAACCATTGAAGGATTGGATGAACAGGTTAGTTACGTTTTGTTAAAAGGATTTTTCTTTGAAGCATTTGATTTTATTGGTTGACATAATGAAACAACTTAACATTATTGTACATATATTTTACTCAGGTCGCGTTACTTGAAGACTCTTTGTATGAGCGTACACAGGAACTTCGTAGAAGTCAAATACTTCTTGGGAAATATTGTCCAACATCTCAAAAGCCTGTGACATCATATTCTGTTGGACCTGAAGTACCGTAAGTTCTAATCATATGGTTATTTTATGAAGAAGCACCCTTTGTTATATCTTATGGTTATTTAGATTTTTTTGCGTTCACCATTTAGTCCAATGAATATACTATACTATACTGTTTCTTTGGATAAAATTCTAGAAGATTTCCAGACAAAGTTTGACAAACACAAACTTCTAAGAATAGTTTCCTGTTTAGAAAATGCCGCCTGATAACTTCATTAGTTATGTTTATATTTGACTTGTATTTCAACTTCTCACTTACTACTATGTTGAACTGATAAGTGATGAACGAAAATCCCTTGTTAATCCACTTGAATTAAGGTGTTTTTGGACATTTCGTACACACCTAGACATTCTCTTCCTCTATGCACCACGTTTGGTAAATTGAAGTAAGAGTTTCATGTGGAATTATCACTGGGTTACTTGTTTAAGGGATTCATGAAGCTATGAAACCTAGATTATAATCTATTGGTCGATAGTAGTTGATGATTATGAACTTCTTGAATGGCATAAGTTATGATCGACTACACAGGTCCAAGAACATTTACTCTGATTTTCTCCAAATAGCAAATGTCGTGAGTTTGAATCCTGAGAGTGGGATCGTGGATGCGCACTGCTGAGGAGTCCCATACTAGGACGAAACGACCGTCCAGTGCTTCCAGGTTTTCCAAGGTGGTGTAGCTTTAATTGACTGATGAATTCAACTATTAAATTACTAAATATCCGATTATCCTGTACCTGTTTTCTTAATTTATTCTACTTCACTTAAGCCAGTCTTAAGATTTCCAATGGATATTCATGATTCGTGAATTTCAGGAGCAAGTTTAAAAGTTCAGTAAGATGTTAGCTTCCAGTACATTTTCACATCTGTACTACGTGTATATTATTGTATATAACTCAATGGCTTTTTATTTAATACATTGAACTCTTGGACTCGAATCGTGTCACTAGTGCTTACACTAGAAATGTGAGTCGAAGCCACGTCTCTGAAGAAGTGGCTTGCACTGAGTCACGAAACGTCAGAAAATCTAATTCCTCTACTCATTGGGATATTATAAACATGTTATTTTTATTTCTAACAATCTACCCCATGCTCAATTTATTTGAAATGATCAAGTCGAACCTCGTTAATGATACTTGCAATACGTGTATTATGGTGTAGATCATATGAATATTTTCTTGCTTGTTATTTCTGTCTAGGACATCGGAAATATTTATTAAAATACATGAACCAAACAATAATTATACAGGCGAATCAGCAGTTGTTAATTTGAGAGGTGTTCTTCAATCTTTTGAACCTACAGAATCATTTCTACGTTCTGTTCCCATCAGATTTAAATCGTTACATCAATTAAGTAAGATTTTGTATTATGCTTACTGTATAACGTATTCTTCTTGTGCGAACTTGCTTTTAACTGAATAAATGTAATTTATATAACAGTTGTATTACGAGCAAAGAATATAGATTAATTTTTGTATGTTGTGTATGACTTTTATGTTGAGTGTACTATTATATTATCATTATTATGTTGAGACTGTCAGAAAAGTTTCAAGATCAATTGACTCATTGACCCAGTCAGTAGGTGATAAAAATTGTTCACTTTCAGGGTCTTAGTTCACTGAAGCATTTATATTACTAGTGTAGTGTAAAAACATGGTACTTCGATGTGTTACGTTTTTTGTGGGCCCCTTTATTTTGTCGTCATTTAGATTGGACGATGTTGTCGAAGGGCCCTCCACTTTAGTGGCCCGTGGATCTGACTCCAAATAGATCGCATGAATGGTTGTTATTGAATTGTATATGTCGCCTATCCTCGTATATAATCATTGACTTAAATCGCGTTAGTCAATAACGGAATTAAATAAGTCAAATAACGGGAATGGACTTTCGGATACATATATTTTGTATATGAAGCGAATGGAATAGAACGAAGCAAAACGACGCGCAGTGGAGATGGCGGGTAAGCCAACTCCCCTTTAGTCAAGCGTTAATCAATAATTATAGTTCCACAAAACTAAGTTACAGACATGTGATGAGTAATGGGATAAGAAGTGTACACACACCTACGCGCTCATATAAAAACAGTCAAGGTTGATAAGCGAATAATTAACAAGGTCAAAATATGACTCAAGTAGAATGAATAGATTGGGCTGTCCGAAAGCTAGAATAAGGTATATGGGCTTAACATAATAACAGACACTACACGTTTACTGAAATAGAATTTGTGATATTGAACGTTTCAGGAATCTTGCAGCCGTCCATAACATTGATCGTACTACCGGTTATATTGAATGTTTAGCTGCATTTTTTAGTATTTAAGTTTATTCTCTTTTCAGGATTGTGCGTCTCATGTAACTTTGAATAGAACTAAAAGTTATTTTCTTTACTCAATAATACCATTTTATTTTTATTATCCTTATTGTTGTAGTTAACCTAAAGGATTGGCTATCTGTTTTATTGAAGCAGTTGGTTGTACGTAGTCAACAACTAACACCCGGAATGTCTAGTGGTATAAGATTTACTTCATTTCGTCTGCGAAGTCAACCTAGACCTAAAGCAATGTTTATATTCTTGACTTATTTCTTTTTTGTACATCTAATGCTATTACATTGTTGGTTATTGTAAGTATCTTTGTATTTTCTTCCTCTTTCTATCACTATTCTCTATTTCTCTGTACAATATTTCGCTTGATGTATTATTTTTAGTTCTGGTCTTTCTGATTATTTACTGTGAATTCTTTTTGTCAATAGCCATTATGATATGTCTCTACTTTCTTCCTATTCTTCATGATTTGATGTTACTATTTTATTTTTCTGCAAACCTGTGTTAATTTTCTTATTTATGGCAAATGAATTTCTCGATAAAATAAAATACATACTTATAAACATACTTGTAGTTTGTCTTTTCACTTGCTTTCCTGATGAATTTGTGTATGCATATTATTTATAAGACATATGTCTATTCGACTCGTCATGTGTGCATTTAGCATAAGATTGGTGTTTTCGTAATGGGTTTACACACCGAATCATTAGCGATGAATAAGGTTATTAAAATGGCATGTTCGCTCCAGTTGATGTTGCCGTAGTCCTTATAATAATGTTTTATGTTTTATACCAAGCGATCTGAAAATATCAATAATTACTGATTTTTAATTGTTTGCAGAATGAAGGATTAGAGATCAAGCTTGAGCAGTTGATTAGGTAATCTTCATGTGAATACAGTTTCGTCATATTTTGGTAAATTGCCGTAATACGTAACATGTATTGTGTTATACCGTATAATGAAGGAGTTGTAATTTCTATTATTTGTATAAGCTAATCGGCGGCCTGCTTGAATATCTGGGCTACCTGTTCCCTCCCATCTAGATATTTCGTCAAGTTATCCGTTTTCGTGCGCGTTTACGAAAAGTTTACAACCTTTCGCTGTACGGATTACAAAAAGGTACAACCAGAGACATCATGGTGGCTTGTAATATGCTTTGAAACGAATGAACATTATTCAGATGTCGATTATCGAACTCCTAACATCTAATTGGCCAGCACTCAATATTTATCGTCAGGATCGATCAAGATATAAGCAAAAGAAACTTGTTAAAATACTTTATGCTGAGAATTCAATAGTGTACCACAAATATAATGTTGAATAAAGCATATAATAATAACAATAATAATAATAATAGCTAAAAAATTGCTGGACTGCTAATTAGATATTATCATTGTAGTTTAGTGGTTTGTGGTAAGATCTCTGAGAAGCGATCAATCCCATGTTTGTTTAGTTCTATAATTGTTGATCAAGTAGCATTGTAGCCACTAGTTTAGGTGAGTCGACAACGCATGCACTGTGTTGGAATGTTAAGCAGTGGTTGGAGGTATTTACACATCGAACATCTTTATACTTGTAATCATATTGCTACAGAGTCTTAACAATTCTATTTGATAGTTTACCGTGTTTATGAACAAATATGCTTGAATAATGTAGGCATTTTCATCTAAATCTCTAGGAATACATGTAATAAGTTGTATTTTTGCTGTTTACCAATCTTTCGTAATCAATAACCATGCGTTATATTGTTGAATCTCAGTGAAACAGGAGATTGTAGGAGCAATTACATTTGCTGTATATTTATGCTATTGAGTCGCATCCGTTCAGCATGATCTTATCAATTCATTCATTATCAGAAACCATAAAATGTCAATCTAATCCGTTGAAATCGTGTGACGAGATTCTTTCTATATATTAAGAAATTACATTCTAAAAGTCAATGTAACAGTTTGAATAATAATATTTAAGTATATGTGATATGTTTTTGAGTAGAAAAGTGATCGATTTGTGGTTGATCACTTCAAATTAGACCTAAAATTACTTAGGAATCGGGTAATACAAGGTGAATACATATAGAAAGGGTTAAGTTACAATAGAACCAAGAATCTTAGATGGAGGTGAGTGATGTGAGCAAGCTTCGCCAGCCAAATTAACCATTTTCTTAGATTTTGCCTCTAACAATAGACAATGAGAAATTCTCCATGAACAATGACTACAAATCCAAACAATAAACCCTCGAATAACGACAAATTCCAACAGCCATCCAGATGTCTACACTCTGTCTATTTCCTTCCAGATTACCAATCCATTCTGGAAGCCAAACGATCGAAGAAATCTAGATGGTCATCAGATTAATGAAGAGTGAGAAAGCAGCAGTACCTGACAAGATACAAGTCGAAGCGCTGGTATTTGCTAAATAGGCTAGCCGGAAGTAAAAATGAAAATAACTGTTTGCGGATGAATTTTTCCATGATCCTTGATAGCATAGATCACAAGTTAACGGGCATATAGTGGGCGATATCGCTACATATTCCCGTTTTGGATCCATGGGTGATAAGCGATGTTTTCCATACATATGTATAAACCCCATAGTTCATAGGTAGGTTGAAGACTTTTACACGGAATGCTGGGAATTCTGTACTATCGTATTTCACGAATGATGCAGAAATGGTATCAGATCCACCGCCATAAGACTTTTCATGGTGGTTACGGCCTGCTTGATGTTAGTGGATGTTAAATCAACTGTGGATAGATGTTGAGATGTCAACTTTAGAAGCCTAATGATAAAGGTTTCACATTTCGTGTTGCAGCATCGCGAGAAATGGCGGATGAATTGTTCAAAAATGGTATCAGAGTTGTCTACAATACTGGTGTTAACTACTATGATTATTATTATTATCATTATTCTTACTATCACTATTACTATTCACAAACATCTACTGGGTACATAAGTGTTGTGAACAAACCATTTCGGGTTTCTTCAAGAGTGCAATAATACACGAGTTTAAATAATGCTAGCATTATATTCGCTATATTCGAATAGAGAAAAAGAAGATAATAGTGACAATAGAATAATAATAAATCAGGTTCTGTGTAATTGAGAAGAATATCGAGTTGACTATGAAGAAGGAAAGGGAGAAAATAAGGGAACAGATATAAAGGAGACGTGAAATACGCAAATGGTTTTTTCGTGCCTTATTGTAACCCTCGCGTTATTAATAGAAGAAACCAGACTCGTAGGAAAATGGGTCTTTATTTTGATCTTCGCGCAGTCACAGTGGAGCGTGGGATTCCTTACTCAGACAAACAAAACCTCTCAACAAGCAATATAAGATAGATAGAAATATAACGCCTAAACAAAATAAAGTGAATAAATATCTGAACTATGCTGTTTCGTGGGTGCAGTCACTGAACTAAGGAAATTTGTGAAACAGTTTAATCAGCGGAAGATAAGTAACGAGCTGTCAGCGAGGCAGATTCAATGGCATTTTAACCCGCCCTCATCCAGCCACAGGGGTGGAGTATGGGAAAGGATGATTAGGTCTATACGCCGACTGTAATTGTTGATCACCAGAGAACAGACTTTAACTGATGAGGCTTTAGGCACTTATTTGGTCGAAGTAGAAAGAATACTGAACGATCGACCCTTAACTCCAGTTATCCAAGATGCTAACGATAAGCTGGCCTTGTCGCCAAACACTTTGCTGTTATTGAGAGAATGTGACGGAATAGTAGATGAAGGTAGCGTTCGAGACAAATATGACAAACGTATGGCGGAGCAGCAGGCCAGTTGGACTGCCCTTCGAAAAATTCTGCCCATCGTCCAAGACGTCGATGGATGTTAGTGATTGGTATATGCTTATTTGCTTGAGATTAACTCTTGACAACCAGCCTAAGCTGTTACAGTTCAATGAGCGTGTTAACGAACACAGAAGAATGATAAACGACTATGCATGTATCGCGAGATTAGTGACAAAAATAGAATAAAAATAAGAGAAGTAACTTATTATCGCAGCAAGACATGACGTCAGAATAAGCGTTTGTGCAGTCATAGTTAGGAAGGATCACCTAGTGAAAGGGTTCCACCATGATAATAATTGTGTGCACTTGGATGAATAAATGTAGATTTATGTAGTAGTGGTATTAGTAGTAGTAGTAGTAGTAGAAGTAGTAGTAGTAGTAGTAGTAGTAGTAGTAGTAGTAGTAGTAGAATACAGAGTAAAACCGGATATTAGTATAAACATTTGTGCAATAATAATTTAGAATGATGCTATGGAAGTCACAATCAAGTGAGAAGGATAATAAAAGATGTAAATTTCTGTGTGTTATATAGATGTGGTGATGATAAAACGAAGCTGAGTTAATTTGTTTAAGTGTAACGTAGGATAAATTACTTTTGTGTTTATAGTTATAGATGTTAGATGTTTAGAAATGAAATATGTGTAGAAGGAAAAGAAGAGATGAAAAGACTATCTAATGTGTCGAGGGACCTGGTTGTATTGAGGGAGTTTGGTTTCACACTAGGTTTGAGAAGCGGAAATGTTGGTAAGTCCCAGTGTTTTCTACATAAGGTCTTACTCTCCGTAGTCATAAGATACTTGGGTTGAGACATCGACCACTTTGTGACCAAGTATTGAGACTGCTTAGCACGACCTCATTTACCTCACAGCTCGGACTGCGATAGATCAAACCAATCAGCAGCTCTTGTCCCTTGCATTTCAAACGGCAACTACTTAATTCACACGTCCCACTCTCATGGGATACACTGTCGATAATGGCAAATGGGATGGCATTCCTAATGAATAGAGCTACTCTCCCATCTTTACGCTTTTGTATTCTGTCGGCACCTACTAACGTAACATCTTCTAAATCAAGTTCCATACTATCCATAGACTGCGTCAGCCGAGTTTCTGTGACTGTGATTATGTCTGGCATTGTAGAGTCAATCTGTACACCTAGTTCCGATCGCTTATTGAGCAAGCTTTGAGCATCGGTGTAACGGATCCGGAGCCTATCTAGAGGTTTGCATATTACTGTACGTAACAACAATAAAACACCCGACTTCAGTAGTTACGAAAAGACCTTAACACCTTTGGATACAAACAACATACAAAGATATACACAACGAGGAAAACAATAGCACTAACCTATTTTCTTACTTTAACTGAAATAAATTCAGTCAAAGCAACAACAGTAGTCTCGATGTCCGATTAAGCGGTCAATACTATAAAATATACTCAGAGGAAAAATACCACTGCCCTTTTTAAACAGTGTGCAATGTTCAAAAAGTTAGCAGCCCATTCCGAAAAATTATTCCCGCGTACACTGATGATAGATCGTCGTTTCGAAAGCACAAAGACAACATATGTCTCAAAACATTTGGTTTTACTAACTACATTGGGCACTGGCATTTCCAGCGCGGTTGTTTCGGGCTCGTAACTAAGGCAGCTCTCTCGGCGTTTTGACACAGTGACAATGTGCTCTTCATCTGACGTATTTTTCGGTGACGATTTCAATCACAATCAGTGGAACAGCAAATGCGAAGACACTTGTCATACTGGTATTGGTTATTCTGGCAATTCAGAGAAGGTATGTACCGAACTATTATTAGGGTGTTCTGGTTTTTTTTTACTGGTGTTTATCATTACTCTACCGGTCTCAGCAATAGTCGCCGCTTAACACATTAGTCACTGTGACAAAAATAAATTGGCGCAGATGTCGGTCTTACAGTAGGGTTAGCTGTTTGTTATTGGAAATCCAGTTGTGAATGAATACGTGTATTTATATATAAGTTAATGTGTGAACGTAACTTGGTCGCTGACTGACTTTTAGCATGTATGTTCCAGATGAATCAGTGAGTACACACGAAATCAGAATCAAGGATCCGTAGCTACTAGTCGAGTCATGTATCATCTGATTTTGCAACGTCAAGTGGGGACGTTGTATATCACAACTGATAATGGTACAGACGGATTCATTCGTTATTTCCCATTAGATCTTGATTTTCAGGATTTCTTGCTGAACACCCTGTCATTGTTTTTCTAAACTGTATTCGCACTATCGTTACTACTTTTGTTATTGTGCCCCCTTTGTTGTTCATCTTAGTTTCAACTCGTGTTGACTTCACCCGATTGTTTGATATCGGATTGTGATGCTTCTCAATGAATTCATTGTACAAGTGTGTGGATGCTGTTTGTGAAATCCGTAATTTCCTACCACAGAGCACATCGAGTTGTTTGCAGTGTACGGAGTAATTTGCTTTGGTAATTAACTAGTACTAACCACATTCGGTGTTGATTTACTGTGCCGGTAAGAACCTCTTTGTTTATGCGCTGGTTCTTTTTGATTTCACTAATTTAATTGGAACACTTGAAACTTTAGCTGAATATGTGAAAACCCAATACCTTGTTTATTGAAATTTGTGCCATCCATACCTAATTTGTAAGTCTTTTGAACGATCTCTTTTTAAGGGTGAGATCCGGCAAGTTAAGTGAGAAGGCTACAGGAATAGGTGAATTGGTGTCCAAGATTACTAAGCAATAGGAATAGCTGGGTCGTGATAAAAGAGAATTATAACATTTCCATAGTGTTCAATTTAATCAAGATGATATAATCGATATTGTGATATTCCGTAGGTTGAGGATCTTGATGTGATGATATTGCGGTAACGGTCACAATGTTGAGCTAAGCAAATATTTATTGTACTAGATTTATTTAATCTTCATGTCTAATGTAAAAGTTGAGAGCAATCGGTAAATGTTTGGGTATACAGTTAACATGTAAAATGAATAACTAGATAGAGAATTTTTATTCTCACCAATACTTACGCATATTGAAGCCCTGAATTTCAGCGAAGAAGCAACCGTTTCATTTTTTATCTCTATTATTTTTTGTCTGTTGCACCAGGTGATTTTTGTTTTGATTTGTGCGATCCATTTATCATACTGTTCTATTGTGCAGCGTGGATTATTTTTTAAATTTATAATATGATTCAATCGTAATAATATTTGACGATTGTAGCTTTTATTTTTGAGAAAACTTTATTTTGTTATCATTACTATTTGACTGTTTGTTTATGCCAGCCATTTGAGTCTGAATTGGAGGCTATGAATAATGGTGACTTGACTTCAATCGGAAATGTAGAATTACAATTAGCTGCTTGCAATCGAATTGTTTCTCTGTTATGTAATTGTCTTTCAACAGATCATTTTCAACTAGTACAATTATTAAATAATTTGAACCAGTGTGGCGATCCAGTTTCTGTTACTTTGTCAACTTTATCCCAACTTAATCCACATCCTAGTGTTTTAGACATATGTTCTAATGTAACATCAACACATAGTCACTGAAAAGTTATTCAGTCTCTCGTGTTATCCCGTGAACAAGATGTCTCAGATAATTTGAAAATGTATGTCTATCCATGGTTCGCGTACACTATTCGGTTTTGCATTTACAACTTCCTAGCCTCCCCTAATTATGTGACTCGCGTTGCAGACTAAGAAGCGTGTGTATCTGTATCTGTATCTGAATCGGATGTCCTCAGAACGTGAAGATGAGGTAGTACAATAATCCTCGATTTAAAATAATACGACGAGTGGTTGGGATTAGAGATGCATCAGAGATCAGAAACACGTGGAATGAATTATGAAGCAATGTGGTTATTCCTGATGAGAAGTGATAGTCATTAGTTTAATGTCTTTAATTTTGGCTCCTAAAACTAGTGTTTAATGCAAGAGAACTCTACTGCCAGAAGTTGTTATGTATTCAGAGTCATTCGCTGTTCACCCTTACGAAATTCTTCATGTCACCTGAGTATGGGATGCATCGTATTGGTGACAAATTTATGTTTAATCGTTATGTATACATTTGTCATTTTATTCATAAAATATTTTGATTCATTGAGTTTATAAATCATTTCTCACTATTTCATTTTTAGTTATTAAAATATGGACTGGTTAATCCAAGGAATGTTCTCAATCGCACACTGAGACATTCTAGTTTTTCTGAATCCGATGAACCAACGAAGTGTGAATTACAAGAGGCTTTATTGAATGCAGTTGGTCAACTGGATCGTTTAAGAAAACACCGTATAAATCAAAAAACACGTATTGATAAATTACAAGAACGATTAGATCATATGGGTACTGAACTGGATTCCAGTGTAGATACTATTCGTCATCATCAAAGAAATTATGAAGCACAAAAACGTAGAACTACTATGGAGATTACTCATTTACGTAATCAATTAGCTAAAGCAACTGCTTTATTAGAACAGTTGAAATTATTCTTCAGTAAAACAAATGTGAACACTAGTTCTTTGGACCACAATATGCGAGGTTTGTGCTTTATAAGATTTAAATGTGTTGTAATTTGTTTGTGTCTAGTGACTGATTTGATCTCACGCCTATCTGTCTCTTGCTTTTCAATTGTTAGTTTATTGTGTTAATCTCTTATCGTTAGTTTAATGATATGAAACGTTTATTATAGTGTTTCCTTACCGACAGATAAGTAATCTAAGTTGTGTCGTCTTACTCATAAGAGAGCTTGTATTCTTCTGTGTGTTTTTGTAATAATTTTGTCAAGTTTATTCTTTTACACTAATGATTCCTCCGTCACGCGTTTTATTAACTCTTTTTATTTGAGCATTTTGAAATTATTGCTTACTGGAACTGTCCCAGTGCGTTGATGTGACACACTTAGGGGTTAAAGCAAGGAATAAAAGAAACTGAATAACTATATGTTACTCCATGTATTGGGTTTTAAGTCATGCACTATAGACACTCACGAAATTGTGTTTCGATATACAGTTGCAGATGTATTTAAATACAACCATATGTAATTTCTGAAAAACCAATTATTATGTAAATTCGACGAGATGATAATATTTTGTATTTCAAACAATGCGTTGTAGTACTCAATAAATGATCTATCAACAGTTTGTATTTGCTAATGCGATCACCTCTTTTGATCTTAATTATTTGGACAAATATATTGGCTGATTAAGCTGAGAATTCGCTTGGAAGTTCAGACGTATGGTACGAAATAAAGCAATTATTATCATCTTTATGAATGATGTATTTCTCCCTTAGATGTAATTTCAAAACTATGCTTCATCTCTCCTAGGTTTTCATATTATGCAACTAGAGCGTTGACACCATAGTTGATTAAGTACTCGACTATTTGCTTTATATTTCCATAGGACAGTCTGAAATACTGATGAACTAAGTTTAATCGATCCTGTAGGTATCTTATCAGTCACAAATTATTAAATATGCTAAAATCCTTTCAATATCAAATGATGAATAAGCTACCTCCTGGTAGACAAAGAATTTAATCATTTTAATCACTCCATACTACCGTATGTTTGATAAATAGTGTTTTCCGTTTTATTGCTCTGATATCATTATATCATTCTGTTTGTTGGTGATTATGATATAATCAGAAGGAGTTTTGTGGAGATTGTAGTAATTTCAATGATTAAGATCATGAGTCAGTTGAAGTTAGACCACCATGGAAAACCTGGGAGCACTGTTCAGCCGTTTCGTCCCATTATGGGACTCCTCAGCAGTGCGCACCCACGACCTCGCCCACTGCGAGATTCGAACCCAGGACCTACTGGTTTCGCGCGCGAGCACTTAACCACTAGACCACTGATTCACCAGGTTCTTGGGTATGAGCCATACTCAAAGTGTAAGAACTAATGATAATACTCGTTCGCCCAAACGGAAATAGATGTAGTGGGATTCAAACCTGGTCAAGTGTGACTCCGTTTTCATTCATTTCATTATTCGATTTACAATCTCTCTACTTCGTATATGATACCGATATAAGAGATAAGTGTAAATAAGTAAAACTTTCAATAATGTGAGTATTATTATTTTTACATTTACTTCATAGTTGTGATTGAGAATTTACTAAGAAATGTACACACAAATAATGAACTGCAAGATGTAGATACTTTAAGTATCGACGATTTAAAACTGAGATTATCTATTGCTCAAAATGAGCTTACTCAATTGCGATTAGATATGGCACGTCAAAGAGAAGATGATGATCGTGAGGCATCAAGACTTCGGGGTCAGTTAGCTGAAGCAAATTCAAATGCAAGAGCTTTACGGATGCAGTTAAATCGCCTTATACCACAAAGCATTTCTTCAAGCAAACTTAATAGTTTGGTGAATACAAACTCATCCGATTCCTCAAGCTGTACAAATTGTCAAAAACTTCAACGTCTCAACGATGTTTTACAACGTAAACAATCTAAAATGAACCCGTTTCCTGATTTAATCGATCATCAAGGGAATATAATAAATCATCAGAATTTTGTTTGTGAGGACAGTGCCTTTAAGAAGAAAGCAATACACAAGCCACACTTTATGAACAGTTTCGTTCAAACAGATTTGTTGAATGATATTCCCGCAACTGATTTTATCCAAAAGGTTGATGTAGCTATTGACCCTATTGGTGGATACGATAACATCTCACCACATCTCCCGGTTGAAAATTGTAAATATGTGCAAACGGAACCATTCATCATAGGTAAATTTTAGACGTTCAATCCTCCTGTTATTTGGTTTTTGTTATTTCATTTTACGGACTATATCTTTTGTTAAATTCTGCAGTCTGCTCAACCTGAAACATCCTGATCACGAATATGAATGTCCCATAATTAGAGAATTTAGTAGGCAATAAGAATTTAGTGATGACAATGATCGTTTGATTTATACATTTTGTTGTAATTTTCCCTGTCGATAACTGCGGTGTATTGGATTTGAGCCTATTTACACGTATATGTATTCAGATTAAGTTTATACTCCAGTTATCATTTATTTGCATTTATCTTTACAAAGGAAAGAAATCAGAGTACTTGTGGTGTATGCTGCTTACGTCAACAGATATAAGTAGTATGTAACACGTATCAGAAGCCGGTGGATTTATTCGCCAATCGAAATACGACTTATTTAATCTTATCACTGCTAAACCAATGACGTTCGACCGGTATGAGCAGCCTAGCGTCCTTATTGGTCCTTTGTTCTTCTAGCCCGTCCAGTTGAATGCAGAAAGCCAATAACAGCTTCCACTATGTGAATCATTTATTTCGAACATACTTGGTTTATATACCAGCCAAACAGACCGCATCACACTATAAAATAGGAAATAACGTTTATACAAGTTGAAGCTAAAAAGTGGCTGTGAACGTGGGAGGCTGTAATCGATTAACTGAACATAACTTTAGAACAGTAAATCGTTTAATCATAATCTATAGGCCTAAATGAAGCTTGTAATAAGAGGAATATAGATATACATAATCTAGTTACTGAACAGTTATACAATAGGAATATATATATATATATATATCCTCACTAGGATATAACAGAATGCCTGTCAGCGTAAGATTGGGAAGATCGAATTGAAGAGAACAAGAATATAAAGAGAGTAATTGTGATAAGAACTGGAATAAAGGAACGGTGAAGTTTGTAAGAGAAAACTGATGGAAGATGTGCAAATGAAATATTTAATGTATGGTTTTCATATTTTACGAAGATACTCTGTAATTTTTGCATTCAACAATAAATTGGTCTTTCCCACCTGACTTCTCGTTAGCTACAACTAACGAAGTAGTATTTGGGTTAGGCATCAGAGTTTTAAGAATATTTTTAAGGATAATTAATCTATTGTTGTGCTACCTTTCATATTTAGGTGGTATGATGAGATTTCTCAGATGAACTGTTTCACTGGAAATTAATTGATCTTTGCTTTGTACATAGTTATCTTATAGTTATTATAGTTTTTGTTCTTATCTGTTTTGACTGGTGGTAGGCAATGACATAACTTCATGCGAAACTTCTTCATCTGGTGTAATTTTGGTTGATGGAAGTTTAAAACATGGTAGTGTAAACGAACCAAGCAACCTAAGTGAGGTTCAGTTAAATAACCTTCATGTATCCAATAAATCGGCACCAGTATCATTAATGGAAAACGACAATGAAGCCGCAATAAATAGTTATCGAAATTCAATGCTTCATTCAATTGGTGAATTAAAGCATGATAACTTGGTTAACCCGAGCCAAAGTGTTAATGAAGATTCGTTACATTCTCAGTTGTTACAGCGAATAAAAGTAGCTGAGGAGGAAGCGATTATGGCTATGGATCAGTTGAAGGCAAGTAATGCAGAGTTTCTTACTTTAAAAGAACGCTTATGTCATGCAACTGTAGAACATACACATTTAAAAGCAACCATTGAAGGATTGGATGAACAGGTTAGTTACGTTTTGTTAAAAGGATTTTTCTTTGAAGCATTTGATTTTATTGGTTGACATAATGAAACAACTTAACATTATTGTACATATATTTTACTCAGGTCGCGTTACTTGAAGACTCTTTGTATGAGCGTACACAGGAACTTCGTAGAAGTCAAATACTTCTTGGGAAATATTGTCCAACATCTCAAAAGCCTGTGACATCATATTCTGTTGGACCTGAAGTACCGTAAGTTCTAATCATATGGTTATTTTATGAAGAAGCACCCTTTGTTGTATGTTATGGTTATTTAGATTTTTTTACGTTCACCATTTAGTCCAATGAATATACTATACTATACTATTTCTTTGGATAAAATTCTAGAAGATTTCCAGACAAAGTTTGACAAACACAAACTTCTAAGAATAGTTTCCTGTTTAGAAAATGCCGCCTGATAACTTCATTAGTTATGTTTATATTTGACTTGTATTTCAACTTCTCACTTACTACTATGTTGAACTGATAAGTGATGAACGAAAATCCCTTGTTAATCCACTTGAATTAAGGTGTTTTTGGACATTTCGTACACACCTAGACATTCTCTTCCTCTATGCACCACGTTTGGTAAATTGAAGTAAGAGTTTCATGTGGAATTATCACTGGGTTACTTGTTTAAGGGATTCATCAAGCTATGAAACCTAGATTATAATCTATTGGTCGATAGTAGTTGATGATTATGAACTTCTTGAATGGCATAAGTTATGATCGACTACACAGGTCCAAGAACATTTACTCTGATTTTCTCCAAATAGCAAATGTCGTGAGTTCGAATCCTGAGAGTGGGATCGTGGATGCGCACTGCTGAGGAGTCCCATACTAGGACGAAACGACCGTCCAGTGCTTCCAGGTTTTCCAAGGTGGTGTAGCTTTAATTGACTGATGAATTCAACTATTAAATTACTAAATATCCGATTATCCTGTACCTGTTTTCTTAATTTATTCTACTTCACTTAAGCCAGTCTTAAGATTTCCAATGGATATTCGTGATTCGTGAATTTCAGGAGCAAGTTTAAAAGTTTAGTAAGATGTTAGCTTCCAGTACATTTACACATCTGTACTACGTGTATATTATTGTATATAACTCAATGGCTTTTTATTTAATACATTGAACTCTTGGACTCGAATCGTGTCACTAGTGCTTACACTAGAAATGTGAGTCGAAGCCACGTCTCTGAAGAAGTGGCTTGCACTGAGTCACGAAACGTCAGAAAATCTAATTCCTCTACTCATTGGGATATTATAAACATGTTATTTTTATTTCTAACAATCTACCCCATGCTCAATTTATTTGAAATGATCAAGTCGAACCTCGTTAATGATACTTGCAATACGTGTATTATGGTGTAGATCATATGAATATTTTCTTGCTTGTTATTTCTGTCTAGGACATCGGAAATATTTATTAAAATACATGAACCAAACAATAATTATACAGTCGAATCAGCTGTTGTTAATTTGAGAGGTGTTCTTCAATCTTTTGAACCTACAGAATCATTTCTACGTTCTGTTCCCATCAGATTTAAATCGTTACATCAATTAAGTAAGATTTTGTATTATGCTTACTGTATAACGTATTCTTCTTGTGCGAACTTGCTTTTAACTGAATAAATGTAATTTATATAACAGTTGTATTACGAGCAAAGAATATAGATTAATTTTTGTATGTTGTGTATGACTTTGATGTTGAGTGTACTATTATATTATCATTATTATGTTGAGACTGTCAGAAAAGTTTCAAGATCAATTGACTCATTGACCCAGTCAGTAGGTGATAAAAATTGTTCACTTTCAGGGTCTTAGTTCACTGAAGCATTTATATTACTAGTGTAGTGTAAAATCATGGTACTTCGATGTGTTACGTTTTTTGTGGGCCCCTTTATTTTGTCGTCATTTAGATTGGACGATGTTGTCGAAGGGCCCTCCACTTTAGTGGCCCGTGGATCTGACTCCAAATAGATCGCATGAATGGTTGTTATTGAATTGTATATGTCGCCTATCCTCGTATATAATCATTGACTTAAATCGCGTTAGTCAATAACGGAATTAAATAAGTCAAATAACGGGAATGGACTTTCGGATACATATATTTTGTATATGAAGCGAATGGAATAGAACGAAGCAAAACGACGCGCAGTGGAGATGGCGGGTAAGCCAACTCCCCTTTAGTCAAGCGTTAATCAATAATTATAGTTCCACAAAACTAAGTTACAGACATGTGATGAGTAATGGGATAAGAAGTGTACACACACCTACGCGCTCATATAAAAACAGTCAAGGTTGATAAGCGAATAATTAACAAGGTCAAAATATGACTCAAGTAGAATGAATAGATTGGGCTGTCCGAAAGCTAGAATAAGGTATATGGGCTTAACATAATAACAGACACTACACGTTTACTGAAATAGAATTTGTGATATTGAACGTTTCAGGAATCTTGCAGCCGTCCATAACATTGATCGTACTACCGGTTATATTGAATGTTTAGCTGCCTTTTTTAGTATTTAAGTTTATTCTCTTTTCAGGATTGTGCGTCTCATGTAACTTTGAATAGAACTAAAAGTTATTTTCTTTACTCAATAATACCATTTTATTTTTATTATCCTTATTGTTGTAGTTAACCTAAAGGATTGGCTATCTGTTTTATTGAAGCAGTTGGTTGTACGTAGTCAACAACTAACACCCGGAATGTCTAGTGGTATAAGATTTACTTCATTTCGTCTGCGAAGTCAACCTAGACCTAAAGCAATGTTTATATTCTTGACTTATTTCTTTTTTGTACATCTAATGCTATTACATTGTTGGTTCTTGTAAGTATCTTTGTATTTTCTTCCTCTTTCTATCACTATTCTCTATTTCTCTGTACAATATTTCGCTTGATGTATTATTTTTAGTTCTGGTCTTTCTGATTATTTACTGTGAATTCTTTTTGTCAATAGCCATTATGATATGTCTCTACTTTCTTCCTATTCTTCATGATTTGATGTTACTATTTTATTTTTCTGCAAACCTGTGTTAATTTTCTTATTTATGGCAAATGAATTTCTCGATAAAATAAAATACATACTTATAAACATACTTGTAGTTTGTCTTTTCACTTGCTTTCCTGATGAATTTGTGTATGCATATTATTTATAAGACA